GAATAATTGTGTTAAGCAGGAGCGCCCCGGCATAAAACTGTGTTGGCAATCCTTTACAAGGTTGTTTCGTAGTAAATGTAGATGTTCCATCATGGCATCTTTTATAATGATCTCAAGTACTTTATATACTATGCTGGTCGGGTTCCTTCGGTCTGTAGTTGTTCGTGAAGTGACGATCGCCCTTCTTAAAGATAGGACTCACATAAGCCACTTTCCAATCACTGGGGACCATTTGTTCATCCAGGCATTTACTGAACAGGATTTTCAGGGCTCCGCAAGTTCGTTGCATAACTCGCTTAGCACGATGGGATGCACCATGTCAGGGCCGGGACTCTTATGAACCTTTAGCTTTGACAGTTTATTTCTTATATCGTCTTCTGTGAACACAATGTGGGTCCGTGCTGTGTCGAACTGTCTGTCCTCAAATGCAGGTAGATTAATCGCATCCTCTCTTGTGAACACCGAGGAAAGGAAGTTGTTCTGTTCCTCAGCTTTGTCCTGGTCAGATTCTGGGTAACTACCATCTTCAAGGCTCAGGTCCAATACTCCTACTCGTGTTTTTAATTTCGACTTTGCATAGCGGTAAAACGCCTTTGGGTTTGACTTGACCTCGCTCGCAACCAGCCTCTGGAACTCCTTTTCAGCCCTTTTACACTCTGACTTTGCTTGGTTCCTTTCTCTTTCATACATCTTCTTGTCCTGCTCATCGTTTGACCTAACCCACGCCTTGAATTTCTGAGTTTTCTTCTTAACTTTGTTGACCGCCGCATGGCTCATGTGTAGGGATCCCCTTGTATTCCTAGAGGCACTGAGTTTGGTGTTGGGTATATATTTTCGATCAAATGGGTCACTTTACTAGCTATGATATTTAGCGTAGTGTCTGCTTTCTTGTGCCTTAATGAGTCAGGCCAGTTGGTACCCCTCATCTCTTCCCTCATCCCGTTGTAATTTCCCTTGTAATATTTACACCTTGGCCTGGCCTTATCCCGAACTAGGTAACAGTTAAATCTAAATGACAACACTATATGGTGACTGGTGCCAACTGGGGCAAGGTGTCCCAGTTTGGCCACCATACCCCCCTCATTTATTATGATGAGGTCCAGTGGCTTGGGTGCTTGCTCCCCTCTGTAATGTGTCGGGTCTCTAAACATGTTGGAACAGAAAATTATCTCTCAGGGTTTCTACAGAAAGAGTAGCAGGGTTTGTTTATTTACGGCTGGTTTATTTTTATTTGTTGAAGTCTGATTATATAATTGTAAAGAACTTAAATGTTTTTCGCAATGATCAAACTTTATTCTTACTGATTTTTAGGCTCCTGTTTATTGCACACCCTAAAATTTAGTAATCATTTAGGATTCTCGAATAAAAAAAGTTACCCTGTATATTTTCCTCCCCATTTGACTGCCTATTCGCCTTCAGCTTCCCTGTCAACTGAAAAATACCATATACTGAATTATATCTGATTTTAGTAAGAAGGAACCACGAAGCGTCGCCAGCCGAACCTACAGTATATTAGAATACTGAATTGTTGATTTAAGGCTTGTAGGCAGAGAGAAAAATATATACAGTTTAGTGATGCTTTATTTTCATTATTTAGAACTGATCAATGGTTAAAGACTGGAAGAAAAAAATACCCGCATAGTAATGCCTTAGGAAAACATAACTCATAAATTGCTCGCTTTTTTAGCTCTAATTCATAGGTGACACTTCTTCCTCGATACAACTTATTCGAAAATGCTGTAGTTTAGCCACGTAAGTTAACTTAAAATGTAATGTTTACCATACTGTAAACCTTTTTTTTTTTCAGTCACGTGTCAGCAAGTTTTCATGGACAGTACAATATGACCGTGGAAGTTTCCTTTCTTCTGCGATACAGTATGAAGGTCAACTGTCAGGGGTCGGCTGCTCCCTCAACTAGGTAAGCATTGAAGCGTTGCTGCGTAATCCACAATTTATACTGAGTAGTAGTACATTTTTAGGTGCATTAGGCTGCTCTCTGAATACCAATCCTGATTGACTCGCAGAGAGAACTTTCACCCCGATCTACGACGACTGTCCTTGATTGACCTCTTGCTCAAACTCTGGGAGTATATAGGAGAAGGTCTCAACTGTGTGTGTATTCTTATACTTACTCTATTCCTCACACACTTGTGCTAGTAAACACAATCTCATTTACTGCTAGAAATACTTGTTGAGCGGATGAGAAATACACATAGGTTCAGTACACATTTATTACAGATATTCGGTTTACATTTACTTAATTTTCAAGAGAGCGAGAAGTACTGCTAACAATACACATGTAACAATAACAGAAATGTACAAATGCAAGAAACAAAGTCATATCATTCAGGAATATAATACAGTATATAATTAAAGAAGGAAATATAGAAGTTACAACGTATATTTATAGAGTTAAGCTGTATATACAAATTATATAGAGGTATACAGTACTTGTGGAGAGTCCCGGGGAAGATACCGGACGCAGTCAGAGGCAGACCCTTATAACATGTCTTGACACACTGACTACCTCCGGCGTCTCCTCCCTCAGCCAGGTCTTCGAGACTATATGCAACATGTATACAAGGCTTTCAAACCCCTTTTAATTTCAGGAGGTACCTGTCAGTAACCTAATGAAGATGTACCTAGTATTACTCCACAGGTACTAGTCAGAATATATTGTATAGCTAGGTGGTGTAGGGGACTGAGTTACTATTATATCTGGTACCAGCGACAGTACCAGCCTCGTACGGTACAAGGTTAATCTGAAAGCCCTATATAAATACAGCCTTACTGTCGTTTAACACAGACACGAGCTCCGCTTTACAGGGTGTGATAAAAATTTCAGGGATGATGTGTGAGTGTCACACTTGGCATGGTATATTTACTTTCCCTTAGAAAGTTTTATGGGAAGGATGTGCTATACTGCGCACCGTCAGCCTTGATTACATTGTACAGTGAAAACCCTCAGTAAATGTCATCAGTTTCCCCCCCAACTCCTCCAGTAAGGACGGAACCATGGCGTCATAAACTATGATGCCAAAAGTTATAAAAATATAATAGTTTTCAATATTTTTTAGTATAAAAATGTACATACATTGTATGATGAGTAAATTGTTAATATTATAAAAAATGCATCAAATATCACAAGATAAAAATGCAGTAAAGAGTGAGGGAAAGGAGTGGATGGATGCAGCCTGGGCCCAAATTTTCAGTGATCCGGTAATTTCCGACAAACTGTAGTTGTGTAGAAACATCTGACGGGCACTGTTCAACTAACGGTGCTTAGTTGATGACCAGAAATGTTTTATACAGTACCCTAAGTAGATGTATTCTTCAACCTAACTTAGGGAGAAGGAGAATCACACATGAACCTGAAAATCTGGACCTAATACAGTGTGTTAACTACAATGAGGTCCCTGCTGCACCTTCCCCGCCCTCCGCCTCTGCTGGCAACACATGAATTAAAACGATTACCTTAAACTTGAGGTTGTCATAACAGGAAGAAAATTCTGTGGTTCTGAACATACTTATGAGAACAATTGAGCAAAATACTCGTAATTCTCATAATAAAATTTACCTCAATCGTAATAGGAAAATGGTAATGTGAACTATTATTGAACTTAATTAAATGCAAGGCCAATATCATACTGTTTATTAATATATATATATATATATATATATATATATATATATATATATATATATATATATATATATATATATATATTAGAATTACACTAGATGACACCAAGTATCCAGCAGGCTAGAAGCCTCGGTAATAAGGGACTCATGCTGTACGTATACATGTACAGTACAGTGCAGTGCATCTTGCGTCATAACAATTTGTCATGTGACGTCACAGGTATATTATATTTATACTGGTACAGTACTTGAGTGATGCTAGAAAATGACAACAGTGTAAGTACATTCCAGTGTTCAATTTATGAGGCGTAAATATTTATTGTTAACTTATCGTAGCAACTGACTGAAGAATAAGTTAACTTGGTCACATGAGGGTAATACTGAGGTACTGTTCCTAGGCCACAAGGCAGTGAGTCATACACTGACTTGTGACTACAGGAGGTCTGTGTAGTGTAGTGTATCCTGTCTGATGGTCTTGTTGGCTGTTGGGGGAGGTACTGGTGTGTTACACTTCCAGCAGGTGCCTCTTGTCAGTTACATGTACCTGCTGTCTTATGAATTAGATAACTTAATAGGAGACAAGTATACCCAAAAGGTGTGGATGACGCAGACCTTGTTACGGTATCTACTAGAGGTGATGAGCTGTCCCCTACATCCCCTCATCCCTCTCTCGCCCCACCATGCGCCCTACTCACCCTCACGCGCCCTACCGTTCCTCCCCCAACTTTTACTCCGTATGTTAATCTCATCAAACACTGGCGTGACTTGAACAATTGTGTATGTATGTAATTCACCGCCACTTTCTCTGTATTATACATGTAATTTGTATTAAGTAAAAGGCATATTATGGTATATTTTTATGACGTCAACGAGACTTTCGCGGACTGATATACGCAGTAGTAATGATTCACTGTGTGGGTCGCGGCAGCGGTTGTGACACTGACAGTAATATCCTCCGACAGTTTATCAAATTATTTCCTCTGATATAATATTTTATCTGTGGTGCTGTATTTAGCTGCATCTGATTAGTTATGTATACAGTTCAATATTGTACTAGGCTGCTTCTCGTCCCCAGCACACAACTGTACACAACCATGGGGAAATACTGTATACATAAAATACGCATGAGAAAATAGGAAAATTAGTTTCTTGCACGAAAAGTTGACTGCTTAGTGATAGGTATTATATAATGTATACTTATATAAAATTATATATTAATTTCCTTGTTTGGTTCATAGCTCATAAATAACAACTTTATATTGTGGAAGCAATGAACCAAAGAATTCAATTGACATTCGATATATATATATATATATATATATATATATATATATATATATATATATATATATATATCGTTATACTTTAAGCCTCTTAAAAACGATGTAGCTATTTATATATAGTCATCAATACATAAATGGTAGTCGTCATTAATGTTGTGTGGTTGGCGGTACAGAGCCTCGCTCATACTGATATACAGTATACTCGTCGCCTCGTATGGTTAGGCTCTTCCTTGTAACTGAACACGGGAGAATGTACTACTTAACTGGTCGAGTTGAGTTAAAGCATAAACATAACGTTTTATAATTAACCTCGAGATTACACTGGGACTCTACCTAAACTATAGTCATTTATTAGACATCGGACAAAATTACACTGAGACTCCACCTAAAACTGGGGACATTTAACCCTTTAACCGCGTGTCACGTATTTGCCATTTTATTCTGGCTACCGCCAGACGATATTTATTCAGCTTAGGGTAACCTCCCGCTGTGAAAGGGTTAAAACCTATCTCGATTAATAAGCACCGGACAAAATAAAGATACAGGATTTGTCTAAAGATTTTCTACGTTAGTTTTGTCCTCCAACTGGTGCTAAGAGAACGTATTTATATGAGGCAAACTCGGTGAAATTTTGTTCCAATATATTTGACGTTATTCTTGTACTTTTAACTTAAGATAAATAGTTATGTGCGGTCTAAGGGGTTGAGTTACGGGGGTATATTAAACTCATTACGAACCTTTGAGAATATTGACCTTGTATCGTCCTGGTATAGTGAGTTAGTCGAAATATTCCCCAGATCGGTGCTTGAACTGACTCAGATTTGGTGATTTGTTTGTTGTCATCCCCACCTCCCTGCACCCCCTATCGCCCCCTCCCCTGCGCTACCGGGCCAGTCTTACCGATATCCACACAACATGCAAACTACCGGTAATATCAGAATTTTGACGAACCGGTATGACCAGTTGAGTCTCTCATGTGGTGACGTTATAGTTGTTATCGTGACTTGTACCAGCGTCATGTATATGTGGTGACGTCACGGGTGTTATGGTACTCTCCTGGTTGATGCCATGAAGTGTGCAGAAACTCCTGTGATAGTACAGTAGTGTTGTGGGAGGACGTGAGGGAGAACTATGTGGTGTAGGAGGCGTGTGTACCAGCAGCTCTCCATCTGTCATTGTACAGTAGCTACAGTATATAGTCCAGCTGGTGCCTCTAGCTGCCAGGCCAACAGTTCCACAAGATGAAGTAAAACATAACCTCAACGCTACAGTTTTGGTGGATTTGTTGTGACAGCGTAGACCAACCCTTGTTAATAACGACGTCGTCTGGTTCTTACAGATAGATAGAAAATATTGAAGCAAATATTTAATTTATCTTTGGAAGTTGTATGTGGTTAATACTTAGCATCAGGGGAGATATATAAATAATTATCATGTGTGTGTGTGTGTGTGTCAGTGTTAGTAGTAGTGTGTTAATGATATGACTGGTGATGGCAGTCACGCTCTCGTGAATCTCTTCATCCTGGGCTGCGGGATGGGCTTCTCCACCACCTCCGGGGCGGGTGGTGGCTGTTGTTCGTCTGTCTGCAGTTGGCGCAGCTGTGATAGGTACTCGAAGGGCTGTGAGAGCTGGGCCTCATTCTTTGCTGTGGCGCCCGCTGGTCGTTTGGTGAATAACACGGGCCTCGCAACCGACAGTTTGTCCCGTGTGAGACCAGGAGACAAAGACACGACGGTATCGGCCTCCGGCAGACGGGTCTCCACTTGTGGCAGGCGATCCAGAAAGACGTGTGAGAAAGACGAAGTGCTCGGTAACGAGTCTAGCACCTCCTCATGGTTAGTTGGTGAGGATAGTGAGGAGGGAGCAGACTGAGGAAGAGGTGGACTTGGCAATAGGAGTGAGGGCCTCACCCAGCCCTCTGGTTGGTAGTCGTCGCCGAAGGCCAGGTCGGGGATATAGTACTCCTCATCAGTGTAATAGTACTCATGCTCGTTAGGTGCCGTTGTTTCATTCATGGAGGTAAGATCTGGGTCAGTTACAGGAGGGGTGCTGGGTGCATCGGTTACGGTGTTGGGTGCGTCGGTGGTGGTGGTGGGTGAGTTAGTCATAGTACTGGGTGCGTCGGTATCGGTGTTGGGTGCGTCGGTCGTGGTGCTGGGTGAGTTAGTCATAGTACTGGGTGCGTCGGTAACGGTGCTGGGTGCGTCGGTCGTGGTGTAGTGCTCTACTGGTAAGGGTGATGTGGGCTCAGTGGTTGAAGGACTAGTGGTAATAACTGTTGTGGATGTGCTGGAAGTTGTGGTGGAAAGGGAAATGGTGGAAGGAATCGTGGTAGAGGGAGATACTGTTGTGAGAGGAGTAGCAGTAGTTTCATTGATAGGTTTAGAAATAGGACTACTACTTACAGGCTCAATGGTTGACATTAGAAAAAAGTCTCTGAATTCAGAGTTGCTCAGCCTTTTATCCTCAGCTGAGTTTATCCCAAAGACCTTGACCTTGGAGTGACCTTGATGAATGATGTAGAGTGGCCACGAGGCTTCAGTGGTGCCTTTAGAGGTCGGTTGTGGGTAGATGATCTCCAGACCTTCAAAAGTCTCTGGAGTGATGGAGCTCTCGCGGAGGATGCTGGCGATGTCGCTGGGACGGACGTGGATCATCGGGGTCTCTTTAGCGTCGGCTCCCTTCCCTGTGTCCTCGTCCTTCCCCTCAATGATCACCACGTTTGGGCGGACCTGTGGGTGGGCGTATTCTGGACTGGCCTCGGAGTCTGAGAACAGATATCCGTCTAAGGAATTTGTGTCAGCCACGGCGTCAAAGAACCCACCCTGGGGCTTCTCGGGGTTTCCAGGATTTGTGGGCTTCTCGGGATTCGTGGGCTCCCCCGGATTCGTGGGCTCAGGATTCGTGGACTTCTCGGGATTCGTTGGATCCCCGGGATTTGTTGGATCCCCGGGATTTGTTGGATCCCCGGGATTCGTTGGATCCCCGGGATTCGTGGATTTCTCGGAATTCGTTGGATCCCCGGAATTCGTTGGATCCCCGGGATTCGTTAGATCCCCGGGATTTGTTGGATCCCCGGGATTCGTTGGATCCCCGGGATTCGTTGGACCCCCGGGATTCGTGGGCTTCTCGGGATTCGTTGGATCCCCGGGATTCGTGGGCTCCCCGGGATTCGTGGACTTCTCGGGATTCGTTGGATCCCCGGGATTCGTGGACTTCTCGGGATTCGTGGGCTCCCCGGGATTCGTTGGATCCCCGGGATTCGTGGGCTCCCCGGGATTCGTTGGATCCCCGGGATTCGTTGGACCCCCGGGATTCGTGGGCTTCTCGGGATTCGTGGGCTTCCCAGGATTCGTTGGTTCCCCGGGATTTGCGAGTGTCTCGGAATTCGCAGGATTTTCGACCTTTTCTGTGTTTTCCGTCACTTCTGCTTCTGTCATAAGATCATCGGAGGGTAGTGAGGTATACCTGTAGCTGCTGGGGACGAGGGTCTTGTTAGTTGTGGTGGCTGCAGGCGGGGGGACGGTGGTGGGCGGCTCCTCTGTGGGTCGTGTGTACCGGAACTCTCGAAGGATAGTGACCGGCTCATCCGTGACCTCTTCTCCGTTTGGTCCGTCCGTGACTTGAGTGAAACGGAATATCTGAAGGAGTTCCGAGAGACTGTTAGCGGTGATGGTGGGCTTGTAGGAGTTCATGTGTTCATCGAGGTGTGGGTTGTGGATGTGATCGCTCTCTTGTTCTTTAGATATATATGAGACGGGTCCGAGAGGCTTGTAGCGAATATTTTCTTCATCTGGATGAGCTTCAGGGTGGATGTAAGAAGCAATAGAAGGTTCACGTCTCCTGTCTGATGCGTCTGATCTTGTGTCTATAAGGAACCAGGGACGTGTGAATGGCGGGGCATCAGCCACTCTGTCTGGAGTTTCTCTCGGTCTTGAACGTCCGCTGTTTGACAATGACTGGGTTTGCTTGCCTCGAGAGGAGTAGCGGAAGTTAGGCGGAGGAATTTTGCGAACGAAAGATGCTCCAGCAGAATCTGTGGCTGACCCAAGGTAGGGTGCCTCCTCGACCTGAGACTCCTGGGGGAGGTTGCCGAGCAGCTCATGCAGAGCCGGCCTGATGGACTGAGCCTCTTCGTCTCTTATGTGGTCGCGGCGCCTGTTGGGCAGATCGGGTCTGTGGCGGTGGGTGTGATCACTGTCTTGTGTACTAGACTCAGGAACACGATCCCGGCGACTGAAGGGAAAGACGTAAGTGGGTCGTCTTACAGTGGTTGTATGGATCTCAGAGAAGGCTCCTTCCATATCGTAGTCGTCAGTTGTGTCCAGGTGTGAAGACTCCTCGGGAAAGCGAATGTTCCCGGTGACAGGGCTGCCGTAATCGCGTAAAACGTCCACCTTATCCGCAAACCCTGGCTCCTTAGCGGGAATATTCCCATAAGTGAACTCTCTAGTCAGATAGGCGTTATTTCCTGGTCTTTCGGAGGGATCGTCAGTGGGGTCGGTGTATGGTCTGGAGCTGGAGCTTGACTGAGTGTCTCCGAATTGTGGCGCGGGAACAAAACGGATGGCTCCGACCTTCTGGGAGGGCGCGCGGAAAGCCCTGACTGTGTTGGTCTGTGGATGAATGTGGAAGTACTCAATGTTCTCGGTACCGTAGACGGAGTGATACTCAGTCTGTTGTGGCTCCGCCCTTACTACAAACACAGTCGGATTTTCAGGCCTCACCGGATACATTGGTTTCTTCGTCATGGGTTCACTGCTAAAGTGAACCCTCTCGAGTGGAGGAGGTTGGTAGCCCACCGTAGGATCATCTGCCATGGGATTGCTGACGTCCATTGGAAACCATCCATCAAACTGTAGACTCCTCTTATGTCTTGAGAAGCGCTTGGTGTTGACAGTGGGAACTCCCCCTCGATCGCCTGGAATAGTAATATCAATATAATACACTGGTGTAGCCCCGCTGTTAGGGTGACTACGTTGCTGCTGACTGGCCATCATCGTTGGTCTACTCTGAACTGATGGAAAGGATTTTGGTCGGGGCGAAGCAACATTAACGGGAACAAAATAAATGTTATTTGAGTTTTGTTTCTTGGGATTAAAGTTTGGTGATACTTGTGGCACTGGTCGATTTCTCAAAAATGACTGTGGAAGCTGAACAGGCCTTCGTTCATTGTTCTTAAATCTATTAGCGGTTAGCATACTGGGATTGACATTATTTCTTGCATTCCATTCGACTGGCAAATCATACCCAAATGCTTTGTTAGTATTTCCCATAGACTGCATGCGAAGAATGTCCTGTATTGAGCTGGCGCCGATAGTTCTAGTTGAGAGTGGGTCGTCAAAGGTGAAGCTCATTGGGTTTGTTTGAAAGCCAGAATTCTGTAAGTTAGTTTGCAATTCAGGATCCTGGAAGTTAGTTTGAATGCCAGGTTCCTGGAAGTTAGTTTGAAAGCCATGATTCTGGAAGTTAGTTTGAAAGCCATGATCCTGGAAGTTAGTTTGAAAGCCAGGATCCTGTAAGTTAGTTTGAAAGCCAGGATCCTGGAAGTTAGTTTGAAAGCCAGGATCCTGGAAGTTAGTTTGAAAGCCAGGATCCTGGAAGCTTGTTTGAAAGCCAGGATCCTGGAAGCTAGTTTGAAAGCCAGGATCCTGGAAGTGAGTCTCAGGATTGAAAGAATGTAATCGTTGGTCCTCGGTGAAGATGTCGCCCACACCCAGGGGAAAGGGCGGGTATTCAGGGTAGTAGTCGTTAAGTGAGTCTCCAGTAGAGGAAGAAAAGATGGAAGAAGAGGATTCCTTAGACTCTGGAGGACTCTCTGGGTTTGATCCACCAATGCTAATGTCCCCATTGGCCTTCATGCTAATTTCCAGAATTGTCAAGTTATGCATTTCCTCAGGTACCTGGATGTTGATGATTCGTGTGAATTTTTTTTCGGGTTCTAGTGAGTCGGGATCATCTAGAGAGGAAGAAGATAAGTCCGGGTCTGGCAATGATTTCTCCGGAGGTCCTAAAGAAATAGATTGAGAGTTAGGGAGAAAATGTGGTCTTTCAGTACTGACGATGGAAGTAGACTTAGGTGTACCAAAGTCATGGTTCTGTGAGTTAGTGGAGAGCTGGTCAGGGTGAGGTCTTCTCGTAGACCCAAATACAGTCTTGAAGGAATCAGTAGTAGAGTCATCAGAGGGTAGTGGCTTCTGGGTACCCCCAGGGAGTCTTCCACCACCATTTCCACCTTTAACACCACCACCAGCATGCCTTCCACCACCAACACCTTTTCCACCACTAACACCACCACCAACATGCTTTCCACCACCACCTTTTCCACCACTAACAGCACCACCAGCATGCCTTCCACCACCACCATTGTTGGCAAAGAAAGGATGGCTGCCTCTGTATCTGGGTGGTCTGTTAACATTACCCATGATCATGCCTTGTAAGGGCTGAAGCCTCTGCTGCATAACCTGCCGCACACCGTGTAGTCCCCCCAGTAGGTATGGGACGGGATTTAAAGCATTCAAGGTCATGGAGATCATGTTACCACCACCACCGCCAGACACGCCCTGTCTCCCCGACACCTCCAACTGGCGAGACGTTCTACCATCTGGAGTAGTATTCGCACCTCCTACTGTCTCCTCTTCTTCAAGAGGTGCAGGTTTCTCCATGACGGACTCTGCCGACACTTCCTCCGCCTGCGCCGCCGTCACCAGCATCACCAGCACCAAGACACACGCCGACTGCATCTGTAGGAGAACAGTAACAATTAATAGGCGATGTTGTGCTAACATTTATACTTCAGTAAACAAACAGTGATCGTATGAGACGTAGGTTGTTGCCACTAAATTATCTGCATATTTCAGCCATATTACTTCATACTTGAAATGTAATCTAACTTATGTAAAAAGCGAAGTGTATCAGTATGTAGTGCTAGATGAGCCCTCGAACTAGTCACCAATGTATGGAGGGGCGTTAGTGGTTGTGCGACACAAACACACATACCCATGTGGGTCAGCTGGCCAATCAGGGACGTGATGGTGGCCCCAGGCAGTGACGTCTCCCTCTCTTTCTTTCTCATTATATAGACTTTCCTTTTTGTCTATGTTATTTTAGTGTGTTTACGTGTTTACACACATGATTAAAAAAACAATATATATATATACATATATATATATATATATATATATATATATATATATATATATATATATATATATATATATATATATATATATATATATATATATATATATATATATATATATATATATACACACAGTATAATTTTTGCGAGAAGACTTTACCTGCTGTGACACAGGGTGGTCGGACAGGTGTTGATCTCACTGATTGTTAACATTCAGCAGTTGGTGGGTCACTCTGGACAGGTTGCTAATGCACCTGAGGGTTGTCCCACCGTAGGTGAACGTATCTGAGTGTTCACCACGGGCAAGCCAGGCTTATGAACAATATTAAGTTACGTGTGTATTTGATAGAGGCACTGCGGCCGAGTGGATGAAGTGCTCTCTTCCTGTCCTAAAGGTAACTGGTTCGCATCCAGGGCACCCTAGTTCACCCAGCTGTAAGTGTGTACCTTAATTTACATTTGGGAATGTGAAGGCGGACAAGTGCAGTGCTAGTCATACTGCCCAATTGTTTTCCGAAAGCTTAGCGTGCAGTATACTGTATCCACACTGCCCCAGCCAGTCACCAGACTTATGGAACCCATTTTCATTAATCCAAAATGAGTGTCATGACAACTCCATTCCCATGAACCTGTGTACAAAAATATCAAGTGTACCAGATGTTCTTAATGCAATTAAATGTTTGTGCATGACCCAGACTCTTGGGCCCATAGACGCTATAAACGTGTTCCCAGAGTCACTTTATATTATGTCTTCTTCACACACACACACACACACAAAACAGTATCGTGTCAAATTTAATCCCAGTTTAACCTCGTTAACAGTGTCATCCCACAAAGAGGAAAACTGGGGTTACCTCATTACACAGAATAATGATCTTGACGTCATCACTCTTGGTGTACATGTCTTAATGACGGTGTTATTCCTGAGTCTGAATATGTTGTTAGATACATAAGGTAGCGGAATGATCGCCGCCTCTGACCAATGAACTGACTCACTGAGATGCGTACTATTATTATTATTATTATTATTATTATTATTATTATTATTACTATTATTATTATTATTATTATTATTATTATTATTATTATTATTATTATTATTATTATTATTATTATTATTATTATTATTATTATTACTGTCGTTGTAGTTGTTATTATTATCGTTGTTGTTGTTCATATAAAAATATTACTTGGCAAATACAGGCACAATTACATTAGGCCTACATAAAATTACTCCTGTAACAAAACAGATCAAAACAAAACATTAAGAGGGTGTTTATCTTAAAACTCTTAGGACCAATTGAAAAAATAAATGACAAAAACTCTTCGGATGGTCAGAGTTGCTAAGACCAGCCACCTGTGAATTATGTAGAACACCTGGTGGATCAGAGGTCTGGGTATGGCCTCTTGCTACTCAGGTGTAATTAGTACTTGACCTTAGACTGTGTGTGTGTGTTAATAGTAGTGGTGCTGGTGGTGGTGGTACTCTTCATCATCATTGTAACAGTAGTGATGATGGTGACAGTAATAGTAATGGTGGTAGTAGTGGTGGTAGTAGTGGTGGTAGAGCGTGGTTGGGGACGAGAGCGTTTACAGGGCAGCGATTATTTCTGAAATGTGGCTGCTTTCTCTTCACCTCCCTCCCTCCTGCCGCCCAAACCGCCCCCTCCCACTCTACCGCCCCCCACCCACCCTACCGCCCCCCACCCACCCATACCGTCCTTCCCTCCCTCCCCCCCTTTACTTGGACGGCAGACTAATATTTGCCGAACTGTCTGAATGTACAGTACGTGCGTCTACTACCACTGTCACCCCTCAACACCACACACACACACACACACACACGCACACACACACACACACACACACACACACACACACACACACACACACACACACACACACACACACACACACACACACACACACACACACACACACACACACACAGTTTCACCAGTCAAAATAAACACATGATCAGACGTTGCAATATAGTTTAGTTCACGATCGTGCTGAGTCTACCCATTACGACTCTATCTTTCTGTCTGTCTGTCTGTCTGTCTGTCTGTCTGTCTGTCTGTCTGTCTGTCTATCGAGGTTTAAACAGCCACAATACACCGCCCTTTCCTGACCTCATTGATGGAGATGTTTTGACTAGGGGATTATTATTATTTTTTCTAGTACGACATAACACAGCCTTTAAATCTTGTTCATCCTGGATTAAATTTCATGTTTATATTTAATATATGAATAAATCTCTGAATTTATTTTGTTGTATTAAGAGACACGTCGATTTATTTCATTGTTTGTACAGTAAGTTTATCTGTTTTGCTATAGTTCCGTCAGTTTATTGCTATCGAGAACTTACCGTGTTTATATAGAACCTCCGTGTTTATATAGAACCTCCGTGTTTATATAGAACCTCCGTGTTTATATAGAACCCCCGTGTTTATAAAGAACCGTCCATGTATATAGATAACCTCCCGTGTTAATACAGAACCTCCCGTGTTAATATAGAACCTCCCGTGTTAATATAGAACCTCCCGTGTTAATAAAGAACCTCCCGTGTTAATATAGAACCTCCCGTGCTAATATAGAACCTCCCGTGTTAATATAGAACCTCCCGTGTTAATACAGAACCTCCCGTGTTAATATAGAGTAGAGAACAGTCTTCCCCACGTGTCCGTCAGCTCAGACAGCCTGGGAGAGAGAAAGTGGTTCAGGTTGAGAAGACCGGACTTGGCGAGCCCACCCGTGTACTGCCTGACACTTTCTGCACGCTCCCGCCACTTCCTAGACGCTATTTCCACTTCCTAGACGTTATTGCTACTTCCTAGATGCTACTTTCTAGATATTAATGCTACTTCCCAGACATTAATGCTACTTCCCAGACATTAATGCTACATACCCACTGGATACTACCCGATAATTTTAGAATTGTTTTGTCTACTTATTGGAAATTATTCGCTACTTTCTAGACAATAGCCGTCACTCTCTGGACCATACCCGCCGATACCTGGACAGTACCTTCTACTTTCTTAACTGTACTGGAGACTAGCAGGTTTTTTCTGGACACTACTCGCCACTTCTTGGATAGTAACCACCACTTCCTGGGCATTACCCACCACTTCCTGGATAGTGGCCGACATTTCTTGAACAGTACTTGACACATCTTGGACACTACCCACCACTTTCTGGACACTACCTGACACTTCCTGGGCAGTACCCGGTCAATACCCCTCAGCACTTACATGAATGATTTAACCTAACCTAACCTAACGCTCTGATTCGGGCGAAACATTGACCCAGATTCAGTCTCAAAGGTTCGTTCGTATACATCACGTCAGGTATGGAAAGAACGTCCCAAAATGGCGTCAAAATGAACCTGAGACTCTCTTTAACGACTGGGGACTTGTGGCTAATTTTTCTCAACATCAGGAGATAAAGTTAAAATAGAGAATCTTAGTGAATTCTGAGGTTAATTAAGTTCCTCACTTCCGCTTCCTACCTGCCTGCCTCCTACCTGCCTGCCTCGTGTTGTGGTCACTATAGCCTCCCTCCCTCGTGTTGTGGTCACTATAGCCTCCCTCCCTCGTGTTGTGGTCACTATAACCTCCCTCCCTCGTGTTGTGGTCACTATAACCTCCCTCCCTCGTGTCGCCTCTCGTGGCTCACACAGGAACTTTCTCTGGTACTCGGTATTCCCGCCGCTCACCCCTTGTTTCACCACCAGTCTTCACAGAGTTGTATTTACCTGTAGATTTAAGGTCGTGTTGTGTACGTGTTGTGTCGTGTTGTGTACGTGTTGTGTCGTGTTATGTACGTGTTGTGTCGTGTTGTGTACGTGTTGTATTGTGTTGTGTCGTGTTGTGTCGTTAATGTGTTGTGTCGTGTTGTGTACGTGTTGTGTCGTGTTGTGTATCGTGTTGTGTCGTGTTGTGTACGTGTTGTGTCGTGTTGTGTACGTGTTGTGTCGTGTTGTGTACGTGTTGTGTCGTGTTGTGTACGTGGTGCCGCTAGTGTTGTTGTTGTGATGTATGACTGTGCTTCAATAACTAAGGTCTTTTTAAGTTTGTAGTCTTAGAAGGTTAGTAGAATATAATAGGTATCAACAATTAATAAGATATAGATTCCCTTATGTGGAAACTGGAGGTGCAGGTACTAGTGATGCGTCATACCTGGTACACACACACACACACACACACACACACACACACCTAGTCCTTCCCGCCACACACCCAACATTCTCAACGCCTGGTGTAAGGGCGGCTGTAACTAGTGCTTGGCTGCATCATGTGACCGAGAACTGATAGTTTCTCCTCCAGATAACCAAGGTAAGTCACGATAAACAAACGCAGAGCCCAAAAAAACACACGATACTCCCTTAACCTAACCTAACCTAAGTTGACATTAAGGAAGGGTAACAGAGAAGAGTATTAAATCAGGTGTTATGGTAACCAGGTGAACGAAATGAGCCTGTGATGCGACCCTCCCATACACGAGGGATTGTGTTGTCACTGGTGTACTATATAAAGAACTTAAGGGTGAAGTTGTTTGGTCGTGATGGGAGTAATATATAATGTTAAGGTGTATTTATTATTT